TATATATATATATAAATACAACTAATTTATGATGTCCAGCGACCCTTGAATATCCTTGAAATTATACTGGAATTTTATGTATTTTGGAAAATTCCTGAAAAATTCCTCAAAATTTCGCCTAGAATTTATCATTCTTTCATCCTAAAAAAAGTCAGTGAAAAAGAGAAAGAAAAAATAAAAAGAAAAATTGTGTTTGGGGTATCCTCCCTTAAAAAGGCAATAAATTACCAATAGAAAACTTGAATTTAATGTCTAAAATAGAACATAGTAGAAAAATCATTTATGTTGACGGAAATTATGTTGTTCCTTTGATATTATGTATATTATTCCCAATTTGTATTTGTTAGCGTTTTTATTCATTCGTTCAGAATTCTAACTTTAATAAAGCATATAATATTGCACGAGTCGATAAAAATTAATTAAATAATGAAAATTAACCGATGGATAAATCCTGGAAAAACCAGTATTTTTATCTGAAATGTCCTGGAATTATCCTTGAATTGACTGGCCAGAGTTTGCTGGACATCATGAATTATGCTCAAATTGATTACTTAGAATGTCAAAATTTTTTGCTGCATTCTTCATAATTTTAAATTAATGTATCTTTACTTAAAGTTTGTAATTAAACGATTGTTTTTTCCTTTTGAAGGTCCAAAGAAAAAAATTTTGACAATTACAATTATACGTCAAAAACATTTATTATAAACAATTTGTTACAACATGATTTGAAGGAAATGTCCACTGGGTCCGTGAATACTGATTAGAGCTAATGTGTTTAACGCATTTAAAAATGATATGTAATTCAATGCATCATCTTAATTGTCAATTGACTTCGGTAGAACATTGAGATCGGTGAAACATATTTCATTTCGACATATGCGACATATTTCATTTCGCACTCACGGTTGATAATTTTATGAATTTTCTGCTCTCTTTCCTTATTGTTACGTCGACGACTATGGCATAAATAGCTTTAAGGATTGCGTTTTCCGACTAATTATTGCTCTTGTTGCAACTAGGTTGATATCAGCTTTAGCACGTTTTTCCAAAAGCTGACGATTTTCTTTATGACACTTTTCATTTACGATATCGTAGCGAGGAATGGATTTAGAGGTCCACTGTTAAACCATCTCACTTCTCTAGTGGCTATAGCAAATTTTATTGCTATATTACGTGACGCTTCTTGAAAATGCATTCGCGCCAAATTGTTGACATTCCCAGAACAAATAATAGTTTTGAACGGATAGCTCTTGCACAGCTAGATTGCGTCGCGTTGAAATAATTGCTACCGAAGAATTAAAGATTGATAAATCATGGACACATGACAAGTTACGCGCACAACTTGCGAAACATTCCGTACGGTAAATTCGCTACTTACGTTTACAAATTTACGACCGTTACGCGGGATTCCTGCAAACAACACCTCCGGCGTAATTAACGCCTATCATAAAATTCATCCCAAAATGTAGCGTAATATTAATCAAGGACGATCTAACAAAATGTTCCTTAACAAGTAATGTTACACACACACACACACACACACACACACACACACACACACACAGAGAGAGAGAGAGAGAGAGAGAGAGAGCGAGAGAGAGAGAGAGAGAGAGAGAGAGCGAGAGAGAGAGAGAGAGAGAGAGAGAGCGAGAGAGAGAGAGAGAGAGAGAGAGAGCGAGAGAGAGAGAGAGAGAGAGAGAGAGCGAGAGAGAGAGAGAGAGAGAGAGAGAGCGAGAGAGAGAGAGAGAGAGAGAGAGAGCGAGAGAGAGAGAGAGAGAGAGAGAGAGCGAGAGAGAGAGAGAGAGAGAGAGAGAGCGAGAGAGAGAGAGAGAGAGAGAGAGAGCGAGAGAGAGAGAGAGAGAGAGAGAGAGCGAGAGAGAGAGAGAGAGAGAGAGAGAGAGAGAGAGAGAGGGCATCTAGGCCGATTTGCGCCGGTTGAATGAATGAATGAATGAATGAATGAATGAATGAATGAATGAATGAATGAATGAATGAATGAATTTGCGGACAGGAATTCACATTCGCGCTAAATAAATTTGGTACTAACTCGCTAGTACCAAAGCTGGTGGTAGCTCGCTCAGTCTTGTTCGCTTCCGGATTGTTCATTTCATAGAGTCTAATTTTAAGCTTGGCCGACTGGACGAACGAACGGTCGAACGGACCGACGGACGGTTGGGTAGGTGGATAGATAGATGGGCGGCGAATGGATGGATGGATGGATGGATAGATAGATGGATGGGTAGATGGATGAACGGATGGAAGTGCACGTGGAACGTGGAAGCTCGTTAGATGTTCGCCTTATGGAAATAATTGGATCGTCAGCCGCAGAAACGCATGCGCGACGATCGATTCCTGTTTCATCTTCCCAAAGATAGATACGATCTCAACGAGAGTTGAATCTCGTTGCTAAAGGGAATTTCGTCAATTATTTTAATAAAGAAGTAAAATATCAATTTATTCTATTCTCTAACGAATATTGTTTAATATTATTCAGGATGATTATATTTGCATTGGAAAAATGATTTTTTAATTGCGCGTGTATCGCAAAAACGATATGTTCTCGTTACAAGAGCTTTCAGCAATATTGTCGATTTTTAGTATTTTATTGTATTTCGTTAAAGCGAACTACGGTCATCCACCGAATATATGCAATATTTAATTTAATGTAATATTAACATTTAATTAAAATATGAATTATAAAATAATGTATAATTAATAAAATAACGTATACTAATACATAACAATTGAATAATACATTGTTATATAATAAATAAATATTTAATCATTTTTTAAAATTATTTCATCTTTAAGGTGCGATGATATTATATTACACGATCGATTTGAGTCATCTTATCAGTATTAGTCGGCACAAATCTTAATTCGATTTATGTCAAGTACAAAAGGGACAATCCTATTATAGTGATTATACCTAAATGCTGCAAATAGGTTATCGTCAGTGAAATGTCTTTGTCGTGCACAACCGTGCACATTGCATGGAATTTTAAACAGAGCATATTTA